AGGTATATCATTCCACTCTAACGTAGGATTCATTCAAATCGTAATTTAGCTTAACAAGTCGATTATCAATCATACCATATGTTTATATTATCAATTCATGAACTTGATAAAATTTTCAAAATATTTTGACTCGTTTTGAGATGTTTACGGACATTTTCAATTTCCAATTGTTTTAGTTTTTTTTCTATAATTGGCAATAAAATTGTATTTGTTCTGTCAAAAAGCTTGAGAATTTAATACGAGGTTCATTTGACATTTTCGTAATTGCAGATGGAAGACATTGAAGATGCATAGACACATTTTTTTTTTACACGAATTTAAAATGCAAATTTTGACTACATTTATCAAAATCTACAAAATGTACAAATTATTTTGGAGTTAAAAATATATAAATTGTTCAAATTTTATAGGTAACAAAATTTAAAACAACGTTTCTTATAAGCAATTCATACTGTAACCAAATCCATAAGATATATTAACACGGCTATTTTTTTATAGATATTTTATGTTCAAACTTGGACTATATTGTATATTTAAATAAAAAATAACAATTTTAGTTACTACAGTTTGAAACTATTATTTGTGGGTACTTGAAATTTTTAAATTATATTATTGAACTACATATATCTACGCGATCACATTTTTTGACAAAAATGTATTCATTAATGTCTAACGGTAAAATAAATTACTTTCATAATAATTATTAATTTTATTATAAAATATTCTTAGGAATATAGGCTGACAGTTAGTCTTTACTCAGAATCATTTCTCATGTTCAATAATTGTGTATCAATTCAAATTTAACACATCCATTACAGTGACCCCTCTGGACACCTACTGTACAGCAGAGTGATACTCACATGCCCACCTTTTTTATTAATTAACAATTTCTAAAACATTTACATTATATATTAGGTACTTATCTCAAAAGCAAGTTTATTGTTAAAATTACTGATTAACCAAGATTAATTGATTTTTAATAAATTGTAACTATCAAAACTATTAAGGAATTAAATGCAATTGAGATTTTAAACAATTAGATAAACTTGTGAAATATTGTTATAATTTACATTTTGACTATTTATTGTTCAAAATTTACTACTCTTTCTGCAAAAATGTTGCATGGTTATGAATATAGTATGTGGATGTAAGGGCATATACTGCATGGGCAGTGAAAATTAGTAAAAATAAATCTAATCAGTTACCACATTATCAATAGATTTACATATTACATATACCTTAATGCCTACTGTGTAAAACATTTTAAGTGTTTTGTAAATAGTCTTTGAGTGTCTCAGACATTTAGACATAGATAGAATTAAAAATAAAGTTATAAATTTATATTGGGTCATAGATAATATGAAAAATATAGTTATAACTTGTAAAGAAGTGTAGACATAATATAAGCAAACAAATATTTGGTTTTGAGGATTTTAAAACCTGTCTGCTCATAGATTCTATATGGCTGTCGATTAAGTTATTAAATGAAATATCTGAGTGCTACCTATATAGATGCGTTAACTTGTAGGATAAAAAAAAATACAGTCAAGGACTAATCACTAAACGGGTATTAACATAAATCGATAATAGCAGTAACTACAGTACTCAATAGGTAGATAGAAGTATATTATATAATATTAACATATACAAATTTTGTCTGATATTAATAACGATTTTGAAGATGAAAATAAGCTGACACATAGTAGTACGAAAGAGAAGACGTGTTGTATTATTTCATTCAATAATCCACCTTATTTTTTTTGGTCGTCATCGAGTTATTAGCTCTGTACCTAACTAGAGAAGTAAATAAATATTTATGTATTGATAACAATACCGAGTTTTCGACCATCCTACTGAAGTGCGTTATTGGATAAAAAACTGCTTGTTTGCTGTGTATAAACTCCGAAAGAAAAGGACACATATAATTGTATTTGCCATGATAAACTAAAGAGCACATACAGACAGTAATATAAGTAACGCACGCATTTTTGTATTAATTTCATAATGTAAACGGCACGACGATTATGTTTACAGTAATTCTTATACCAAAAAAGTAAAAACACATTCATTAGAGCTTGAAAAAATTGGAAAAAAATGCAAAAAATCCGGGTGGCTGTGCTTGAGCGCAGGCTCGTATTGTTGTCGACGGCCACCGGTTTCGTTTTCGCTTACCCTATGTAAAACGCCTAACGCCTAAACGGTTAGTACCTATACGGGACAATCTTTTAGATGAATTCCTTTTGCAAAAGTTCGAGCATTTAAACCGTTTGTATATTCAGGAGCGAATACAGCATTAAACATTATTTAACCGATTAAATTTGTACGATACCATTATTATTATGGCATATTGTAGCTATAACAAAATATATGCCAATATCATGCTATTGAAATGCGAATACATTGGATTCTGTTGTAAAAAATTTAAATATTTTTACGATAGTTATACACTATGAATTATGCTTAGTATACCATAATATTATATTGTTCTGTATATAATACCATATAATATATTATGCAATATGCATGTATGTAGCTATATAATCAAGATATAGGTACATAAGTATATTTACAATATAATAATGTTGAGTATATTAATATTATAAAATCTAATATTATACCATAACGTTAATGGTTAGTTCAATATATTGTCTTTTATTTATTATTATTATTATAATGTTATGTACGTCTGAGTCAATTTTTTTAATGAAATAAAACATATTATTAAAACAATAACATTTATGGCTTAATACTTTTACTTAGTACGAAATCAGATATTTAAACGAAGATTAACGAATTTAAAAATATTACTATAATTTATGCTAACTGACCGTTTCACTCAGAATCGATTTTTGTATACAATGAAATATGACATTTTATCATTGAATTCAAATTTTACACTATCCTTTACGGTAACCCACTTGTAACCTATTTTCCCACCTTTTTTTCTGGGTGATCTACTTTTCCGCCAAAATCGACCTTTCCGTTTACCGCCAAGTCCGTTTACCGCCAGTACAAAAATATATATTTCCTTTTACCGCCACCACAAATTTCAGTTTATATATTTTGGTAACCCCTGGTTAACAACTGGCCATGTTGGCTCATCAAAGCCGCTGTCGATATAATGCGTCGTCGTCGATAACTCGAAAAAACATTTTATCACGTAGATAATATTTCACAATCATGGGTTTTCACTATTAATACAAAAGAGAGGAAAGATTATGTTCGAAATTCATGCGACAACTGACAATAAAGATAACGCTTGTCTGGTTTGATCTTTTATAGATTTTACGATACCTATAAAATTTTAGTTTGTGTTAAAGTTCGCGAAAAAAAAGTACGCTCCGCACAATGGAAAATATTATTGAAAGTAATCGTGGTAAAAAGCAGTTGATTTTAAAAAATTTTAAATTTCGAATTGGTTCATGTAATAAAGGACTTATTCGTTGGCGGTGTACAACTAAAAACTGTACCGCAAAAGTTTATACAGATGAAAATAATATCTGTATTAACAATACAGATACACCACTGCACAATCATGGCGAATATTCCAGCCAAGCATTGAAGAAGCAGGTGCTAAACACAGCATGTAAAAGAAAAGCTATTGAAAATGTAAGTACCAGACCAAAAAAAATTATACTCACTGAAATCGCACAAAATAGTAATTCATCAGATATAACCATTAACGATATAAATAGAATCCGAAAGAATATTTATGAAAACCGACGGAAAATTATGCCCCCAAATCCTACTAATATATCTGATGCTCACATCGTACTTAATTCAATTGACGTGAAAACCAAACAAAATGAAAATTTTTTGTTGGTCAATGACGAAAAAGAAAATATAATAATATTTTCGTGTGAAACAAATCTTCGATTTTTATCTACAGTTGATAATATTTATATGGACGGAACTTTTGATTATAGTGCTCGGTTTTTTTTACAATTTTTTTCGATTCATGGATATCTTAATGGTTACTATGTTCCATTAGTTTTTTGCTTATTACCAAATAAATGTAAACAAACGTATATTTATGTTTTTCGTGCAATAAGTAAAAAGTGCAAAGACTTGGGGTTAAATTTTTCTCCCACCAATATAACTGTAGACTTTGAAAGGGCTATAATTAATGCAGTTTCTGAAATGTGGACGCAAACCAAAATATCAGGATGCCGATTTCACTTGACCCAGTCTTGGTACCGTAAAATACAAGAAATTGGCTTATCAAGTGTGTATAAAGACGAGTCGTCTGAAATTGGTAAATGGTTACGTAGTATATTTGGCTTATTATTTCTAAATCCGGAAGATGTAAGTGATTGTTTCACCGACGACTTTATGAGCGAGTGTCCGATCGATGAAAGGCTGCAAAAGTTTGCTGATTATTTTGTAGAAACATATATTTCTGAAGATTGTATTTATCCTCCAAAACTTTGGGCACTTGCATCTTCAGAACTTACACGCACAACAAATGCCTGCGAGTCATTTCATGCACATTTTAAAAATAGTTTTTATCGACATTCGCCATCTATTTTACAATGGTTAAATGTTTTAGTCGATGAAGTTCAAACTGACGTTTATTGTAAAATAAGAAGCGTCGATGAACAAAAAACACCGCGAAACCAAATTTTAAGACGACAAAAAAAAAACCAGAATTTAATTGACCAATATAAAAGGGGAGAAATATGCCGATATACCTTTGTAAAATCAATAGCGTATAACTATATCAAATAATATATAAAGGATCATATATTTAATTAAAAATTGACTACCTAATTATTTCTGTTATTTTAAAAATCATTACCAATTATAACAAATAAATGCCTAAATGTTTGACTGTGATATCGTATTTTACGTAGTAATATTGACTTTTTTGTAATATATTATACTATATAATTTTAATTTTAAGTATCACTTGAATGTGTTTTTGTCAAAAAAAATCATTACNTATAATATTTTAAGTAGGTACTTAATTTCTAGATTTTCATTCGAAGTATTATTAATTATTAATATTTACCTTTTCCAGTTCCATAACTTTTTTTTACTTTCGCTTTTTCTCTACGATATGATCCCTGTAAACTTAGTATTTTTTTTTTAATTTCCTCAACCGGTCTTTTCACTTCTTTTGCCAAGTGACACCAAGCATCATGTTTGGCATTTTTTGAAAAATATGATGGATTTTTTGAGTTCCATAATACTTCTTGTAATCTAAATGATTCAATCAAATTCAAGCAATCTTTGCTATCCCAATCCATTTTCAAATAGATAATAAAAAAATTTAAAAATGTAAGTACTTATTTATTAATTATTTTATTATAACGAACGTTTGAATTAATTTACCGTCCAAACGGTGACTCGAATGCTCGCGGTGTTTCTTTGAGCATGACTGAAAAACCGACAGTGATCGGCTCGCCGTGCGAGTCTATGCGACCTATTCAGCGAACGTTCTAGAATGCTTGCGAATGCTCACGAACGTCGTCTATACGGTCGCATGGTGGGTCGCACACGAACGTTCGTGAGCATTCTTTATTTTTGTTCGCTCGTGTGTACGCGCCTTAAAGTGTATACTATGTATTATATAGGTACTTTATGGCACATATTATTTTTTATATACAATTTTCCGGTCACAATGCGTCAATGCTTGTTCTTGAACTCCTTCGAAACGGCATGACCGATTTTCATGAAAGTCTTAGAGAATATTTGTTAGGTCTGAGAATAGGGCAAAATCTATTTTTTAAACCCATCGGTGTTAAGAGTGCCTCTCGCAAAATACTTCTTTAATATTTAACATGTAAATTGAATAATATTAATAATATAATAATACTTCACGCCTATATCTAGTAGGTATTCGAGAGTAACTCGCGAACCCGATCAACTGATTAACAGAAATTTGATTTTGAGCCAAATAACTCATTAGGTAATTCATTTTTCTGTAATAAAAAAAATCGAAATATGTGCATGAATATGTCCTTAATTTAATCAAAATATGTAAAAAAAATTTAAAACATGTAACAAAATGTTGTATTTCTTCAACAGTGATGAGCTTTGTGCCAATAAGGGCCTATTTCGAGTTTCCAGTTGTTTTATCGTATGTATCTACCAAAACATTTTTTAAGAAAATGACACAAATTCAATGTACGGGGAAGACAAACAAGTAATAGCTAAAATACAAATTCTATTATTATATTTATATTGAAGTGTACGTTTATCTATTTAAGTATGTAAATAATGTAGAATATTGGTTGGTCGTCATAAATTACTAAAATATTACTAAAATATTACTTTTAATTAAAAAAATTAACTTTTTTAACTAAACTCATTATTGAATACAAATTTAATCACATGAAATTGACTTTTGACTTTTAGGATTAGATTTAGATTAACTATAACTATCGTAAAACTTAAAAAGTTAGACTTGGTATAAATAAATCAATTTAACTTTTCCATTAACTTGACCTCCCTTACACCATTACTATACCTTAACATACTTATTAATATTAAATACCATTTATTAAATTTAAATTGGTTTTACAATGATGACATTGTGTTTTTTTGTGTCTACCTATTATTACTTTTTAGTTACGTACCTAATTACGTAATATATGTAGTGTGCTTCGGCGTACCAACACCTATTCAAATATCACGTGACATTATTTTATATATAATCATGCACTTAAATTTGTTTGTTTTATCATTTTTATCATTTCATAAAAAAAAAGATGTAACATATAATACCCGTAATGTTTTTGTTATGAATAAAACCAATTAACTTGTGGATTTAATCAGAATTTTGAATGTGTGTGTGTGTGGGGGGGGGGGGGGTTCAACTTTTTTAAATATAATATTTTAATCAATGAATATTTATAACAAATCATTATGTATTAAAATTTAAAAAATATGAGTAATAATAAATTATAAAACAAAGTCTAGTTTGCGTGGTTTTTTCGCAAGTTCGTCAAGGACTTCTTCAGCTGAAAGTGGTATATCTGTGTGAACAGCCAATATTGTCAGTCCATTAAGTCGTGTCTGAAAACAAATTGTAATTTTAATCTTTTATCATTTTAAATATTAAGTTTGAGATTGAGAAATCACTTCTGTCATTGTGTTTCTTAAATAAGTTTCAATCTTTTTAGACATGAAAACGTTCGTTCTGGGGTTGCTGTGGACACTGGTAAAGTACATAGTATTTGAACTAAGAAATGAATATTTGGAAACAATTCCTTCTTGCATAGCCTTAATGCTTCCAGCCCACTTTTAGGGTGTTGTCCATTGTTTCTAAGCACTGCATGCTATAGATTTAATTCTGCTTTAACAATTTGTTTATCAGTGTCAAGATAAAATTGAAGAAGTTCATCAAAATCATCTGAATATGTACCAGAAAATAAACATTGAAATCCTAGAAACAATTTTCCAAAATTAGTATAATTCAAAAAAAAAATAAATTTAGTTAGGTACTAACCTTTAAGAACATTTTTGTGACATAAAAAGCGCTCATTTAACTATTGTATAAATGAATCAATGTATGGTATAGCTATTGTAACTCTATAATATTCTTCAGGGTCATTAATACTAGGGTTGGCTCGTTTTGTGCATTTTTTACTCAAACGTTTGATCGATATGGTAATATCTAATATATTAGCCATTTTCTATAGTAATATTATTTTCATTAATTAAATTAAAAAGTATATTATATAATATTATATTTGATTATCTTTACATCAGCTTCTTTAAACAATTGTTTAAACTCTTCAGTTATATTTCCACGTAAACGTTGAATAGTAGCAACAGTAACTTCGGCAAGATCTACTGCTTTGCAAAAGTTGACATAATGGTAAACCATATGAAAATAAAACCTAATGAAACAAAAATAATGTTCATTATGGCTAAAAATTATTGTTAATATTTTTACAAATGCATGACAATAAAATATAATATTTACTTTAATAACTTGAAGTGAAATTAAAAATTCTGAGTCCATTGCTTTTATTAAAATGTTGGCATCAGTCGAAGTTGTGTCATTCCACTCACATATTTTTTTAATGTTTGAATTACATAAGGAAATAATTCTACAAAATCATTTATTGCCGTATTTCTTTCCACCCATCTTGTTGTACAAAAATGTTTAATAGATTTTGATCTTGTATCCAAATCACTTTCGTTAATAACACTTAACAAGACATTTTTGCGTTTGGGTGCATTTAAAAAGCAGTACATTTTTTCAACCAAACCCAAAGAATTTCGTATTGCTTGAATATCACAACTTGTAGATACAGTCAAATTCAACGAGTGTGCTGCGCAATGAACATACAAGGCTTTAGGACATGTTTCCCTCCCAATTTTTTGAGTACCTTTAAAACGCCCCGACATATTAGAAGCACCGTCATAACCTTGTCCATACATGTTACTGCAGTCTATTCCACATGAATTTAGCCCTGTATAACAACAAATAATTAATAAAAATCTAATTTATTTATAATAAATACAATTTTCTTTAATAACCATTCACAATAGTTGATGCATTGTCTTTTCCTGTCAGACTATGAATTTCTATATATTTTAAAAAGCGTTCACAAACAAATACATTTTCATCAGAACCAACAACATATCTAACACACAAAGCTAATTATTCTTTGACTGAAATGTCAGTCGTTTCATCTGCTAAAACTGAAAAGCATTTGGCAGAATTGACCTCTTTGACAATTTTCTCTAATAAAATATCTCCAGCAGATGAAATAATTTCATTTTGGATTTTTGCACTTGTGTACTTGTATCGGTAACATGATAAATTGGTAACAAAATAATGCACAATGATACCTAAATTATTATTATTATGTCTGATAAGGAGAAAATGATACCTAATCAATTTTTGAAAAAAAAAAACTCTAAAATTGAAAAATACAATAATTATAATTACCTATAATACTCGTATGTTAATCGTTAATACATATTATATATTTGTCAAGTGCCAAGGGGGGGGGNCATGTATAAATGATACATTAAGTGGTAAAAACAAAATTCATTCTTTTGGAAAAAAAATTAAACATGATTACTTATAAGTTATAATCAATAACTCTGACATATCTTTCTTTTTTATGTATTTATAATAACAAATAATATTAACACTTAAATATTTGAGAAAAGAAAATATATTTTTATTGTGAAGCAATTTTAAAGTATTTATGGCATTCTTGATTGTAGACATTATTAACTGGTCTCATACAATACATGAGCAATGAATGAGATAATAACCACAGAATAGATGAAATATCTATATATATATATATCTATTCTGTGGAATAACTACTGTCATAACAGATAGGTAGAGAATATTGATAAAGGTCTGTTGTATTACTAATGACTAATGAGAGGTATTTTATTGGTGAGTCCATGTTGAATATAGGCAAGTAGCTAAGATTACTCTGAGAAAATAAAGGAATATTGTGAGGATAATGTCCGAGTCTTGAACTGTTAATGTATTGAAATGAAGAGGCCAATAATAACAACCATTGCATTAAAGTAAATTTGATTCGGCAAGAAAAATAATATAATTAATTTCGTTCATAACGATTGCACGTGTATGTTCATCAAATTCTCTTAACTTCATAGCGAGTTGTTCGCCAAACAAATCAAAATCATCTTTCACATGTTCAGATGAAATAGTTTCCATGCTTTCATATGAATCTTTCATTTGTTTTTCAATGGTTCCCATAGTTGTCAATTTATGTTTACTGTTTTCTCCAACTCCAAGAGATTTGAGAACAAATTCTGAAATCAAATTTACCGCATATTAAAAGAAGAGTTAACTCATACACTTTCTTATTCCTATTTCGCTTTTTACAACCATTCAATGTGATATTAAAAAAAGCATTTGAATTATATTTCACAAAACTTATTTACAACCAAAGTTAACAAAGTAAATATAATGAAATGTATAATTTTTTTAGTTAAAAACTAAGGTAGGGTAGTTCAATATAACCTAGTATTTATAAACACTGTTGTAAAGTAGTGGTTCTTAACCTGTAAATTGCAGCCCCGCAATAATATCAATACATGTGTGTATAGTCTTATATAAATACTTTAAATATACATAGACACATACTAGAAATTTGGTAGCCTAAACCGTTTAAAATTATCCAATATACCTCAGTAAAAAACCTATTTCTACTCTAGTGAGCATTTAGAATAGAAAGAAAGAAACCGGTCACAAAATAAAGATTCCGATCTCTGGTTAAAACTATCTAGTATCAAGCTTGAAATATTGAAACTTGTAGCAGAAATGTAACATCAGCCATAGCATTAAATAATTAATTTTTTTATTATGTGTATTATTATTTATTAATGAAACTTTTATGTAGTTTGTACTCAAAAATAAAGTTTTGTGTAATAAACGTTCAAATTGAATTGCTTTGTGTGAAAAAATTTGCTTATTAAAACAATATATTTTCATTTCTAAACTCGGAGTCTGTGAGTTCAAAGATAAATTTTACAGAGATCCGCGAGCAACAAAGGTTAAGATAAACCATTGATGTTAAGTATTTAAGTAAAACAACAATTCAATATTTTTATTGGTATCAAATACACCGAAGAAAAAATAATGACAAACATAGACACATATAGTACATACCAATGATTGAATATTATGTGCTGGATTTAAGAGCTTAGGTAATGTGAAAATCTTACAACACGAATGCACTAATCCAGAATGCAGCATGCGTCTTTTTTATTCACATGCACGGCTTAAGATAAAATGTTGTCAAATTATAGGTAAGTGATAATAATATTAATATTATCATCTAATCACGACATCATGATAAGCGAGACCTGACGTCAGCGGCCGCGACCAGCTCTCGACAATCACTTTTCAATTCATAATTGAATACTTCGATCCTTTATTTTGGTAATATTAATTATGCTTTTTAAATAACTCAGTATCTTTAATCTATTATTTTTCGATACCGTAAATCTAAAGACTAAAAGCCGACCAATCATTAAATTTCACAATTTTCAACGAACTTGTTGCATTGATTAATTTTATGGCCTCAACAAATGCGCATATATTTGAATGAGGAATTCTCACTCCTCACTAGAAATTGAAATAAATATTAAAATAATATTATTAGTGCGAATAGTTTCCATACGAGTTGTATTAAAATCGTTCCAAAAAAATGATAAGAACAATGGTTGTCACATTTAAAAACCATATTATTTTAAGCTGAGATCTGTTGCATTTTGTATCTATGATTGACATAATTTATATATAACTCTCGAAAACAGAACGTTCAGAGTCAGAATCAACACCAGACTATCAACTCACCACGAAGTTCAAGCTGGCGTTCCGTAAGGCAGCGACATCGCCCCATTTTCTACATTTTTTACACTGCTGATATCAGTGGCGTGCTCAGGAATTTTGAATGGGGGGGGTTCACCTTTTTTTTAATATAATATTTTAATCAATGAATATTTATAACAAATCATTATGTAATCAAATGTAAAAACTATATTTAAAAATTATAAAACAAAGTCTAGTTTACGGGGTTTTTTTGCAAGTTCGTCAAGGACTTCTTCAGCTGAAAGTGGTATATCAGTGTGAACAGCCAACATTGTCAGTCCATTAAGTCGTGTCTGAAAACAAATTGTAATTTTAATCTTGTATCATTTTAAATATTAAGTTTGAGATTGAGAAAATCACTTCTGTCATTGTGTTTCTTAAATAAGTTTTCAATCTTTTTAGACATGAAAACGTTCGTTCTGGGGTAGCTGTGGACACTGGTAAACTACATAGTATTTGAACTAAGAAATGAAGATTGGGAAACATTTCCTTCTTGCATAGCCTTAATGCTTCCAACCCACTTTTAGGGTGTTGTCCATTGTTGTTAAGTACTGCATGCCACAGATTTAATTCTGCTTTAACAATTTGTTTATCAGTGTCAAGATAAAACTGAAGAAGTTCATCAAAATCGTCTGAGTATGTACCAGAAAACAAACATTGAAATCCTAGAAACAATTTTCCAAAATTAGTATAATTCAATAAAAAATAAATTTAGTTAGGTACTAACCTTTAAGTACATTTTTGTGACATAAAAAGCGCTCATTTAACTGCTGTATAAATGAATCAATATATGGTATAGCTATTGTAACTCTATAATATTCTTCAGGGTCATTAATACTAGGGTTGGCTCGTTTTGTGCATTTTTTACTCAAACGTTTGATCGATATGGTAATATCTAATATATTAGCCATTTTCTATAGTAATATTATTTTCATTAATTAAATTAAAAAATATATCATATAATATTATATTTGATTATTATTACCTCAGCTTCTTTAAACAGTTGTTTAAACTCTTCAGTTATATTTCCACGTAAACGTTGAATAGTAGCAACAGTAACTTCAGCAAGATCTACTGCTTCTTTTAAGTCAAGATTGACTTTTTGCAAAAGTTTACATAATGGTAAACCATATGAAAATAAAACCTAATGAAACAAAAAAAATGTTCATTATGGCTAAAAATTATTGTTTATATTTTATACAAATGCATGACAATAAAATATAATATTTACTTTAATAACTTGAAGTGAAATTAAAAATTCTGAGTCCATTGCTTTAATTAAAATGTTGGCATCAGTCAAAGTTGTGTCATTCCACTCGCATATTTTTTCTAATGTTTGAATTACATAAGGAAATAATTCTACAAAATCATTTATTGCTGTATATCTTTCCACCCATCTTGTTGCACAAAGATGTTTAATAGATTTTGATCTTGTATCCATGTCACTTTCGTTAATAACACTTAACAAGACATTTTTGCGTTTGGGTGAATTTAAAAAGCAGTACATTTTTTCAACCAAACCCAAAGAATTTCGTATTGCTTGAATATCACAACTTGTAGATACAGATAAATTCAACGAGTGTGCTGCGCAATGAACATACAAGGCCTTAGGACATGTTTCCCTCACAATTTTTTGAGTACCTTTAAAACGCCCCGACATATTAGAAGCACCGTCATAACCTTGTCCATACATGTTACTGCAGTCTATTCCACATGAATTAAGCCCTGTATAACAACAAATAATTAATAAAAATCTAATTTATTTATAATAAATACAATATTCGTCAATTACCATTCACAATAGTTGATGCAATGTCTTTTCCTGTCAGACTATGAATTTCTATATATTTTAAAAAGCGTTCACAAACAAATACATTTTCATCAGAACCAACAACATATCTAACACACAAAGCTAATTATTCTTTGACTGAAATGTCAGTCGTTTCATCTGCTAAAACTGAAAAGCATTTGGCAGAATTGACCTCTTTGACAATTTTCCCTAACCAAATTCAGCCATTAAAAACTTTTCTCAAGGTATTAAAAAGAAGTATAAACCCCAAAATTTGTTTACCTTTCTGTATCCAAAATATCAATTATACTTGGTTGGCCACTTGAAAATGATTTTAAGAACTGTTCACTTTTTAATAAAGACAAGGTATGATATTCATGTTTTGAGTGTTTTTCAAATACCTATTTATTATTGTATATAAATTTAATAAATATATTAGAAATAAATCATAATATGATATGTCAAGAAGTTGAGAATTATTAAATTTTCTTGACTTCTTGTTTTTATTAATAATTATTATTAATATTAATAAGTTTATTTACTTCTAAAGCTTTTTTCCAATTTTGAAAAGCATGTGTCACAAGACTTCCTAAAGCTTGAGATCCTTTACCACCAGATTTGGCAAAAACTACGCAGTATTTGCAAAAAGCACCTTCCAGTTTTTCGGAATAAGATAACCAATTAAATTTATCTAGCCAACGTTGCTGAAATTTGATATTTCTCTTGGCATTATTATTAAGCAATGGAAACAAGTAATTTGCTTGAGGTGACCATAAATTTGTTAATACCTAAAAATATAATTGTTGATGCAGTGCATGCTGGGAAATAGCATTTAGCAGAATACTTACTATGTTTTTTTCATGATCAGATAAGCAGCGATTAAGAAATAAGCCAATATCATTTTTTTGAGTAAGATGTACAACATTTTCCAACTTAAATAAAATAAAAATAATGCCAAATATTAAGCATACTAGTATTTATAATCAATGTTTATAGTTATGTTGATCGTAATTCATAATAATGAATATTGATAAATATTAAATTATTATAATTAACTACATGTAAACATGTTAGACAGCCATACACTTCATCTTCATGCACATATTATACTCCATGCTAAAGAATAATGTAATTTAATAGCGTGCAAAGGCCAAAAAATTAGGACTTTAATATGGCGTATACCTACCAGTTTTAAGTCAAAAATCTTAAAATTATTACCTTACCTGGTTACCGATAATTTGACTATCTTCCGTTTCCAATTCGTGTTTCCGTTTAAGTGAATCGGATGCAGTACTCGCAGTAACACTGACACTCGTGGATGTAGTTTTAAAAAAGTTCGTTATCTTTTTATTTGACATTTTAATTTTAAATTAAACAATTTCAAAACACTAAACTCAAAATACGAACACATATAATACAAACGTGTAACTCGACGCCTATCAAATTCACGATTGAACAATAAAATATATTAAATAATAACAGACCATACTAAGAATATATTTGTTTG